GGCCACCCCCGCTGACTGCATCCGGCCCTCCTTCTGACGGCCACTTCTCCCTCCCCCACATCTTCCCCAGCCAGCTCCCTGCCCCCAACCTCGTGCCCCCTGGCAGCCCTGCTTCCACCGGCTCCCCAATCTCCCCAGCCCAGCCCGATTCCCCCGTCCAGTGCTGCTTCCGATGGCCGGCTCTCCCCTCTTCCTCTTCCCCCCCTCACATCCCCTAGCTAGGACTCTGCCAGGAACTGGAACATCCAGCTGCAGACTCCGCCCAGGCCGGCAGAGGGCTTAGGGGACCCAGCACCACACGGGCACTCCGAGAGTGCAGAATACCCCGGCAACCACTCTGAGGCCCGGTAGTTTTTTCCTGCTGCCCGGTACTGGGCCGCAGCCCATAGTTTGAGAAACGCTGTTCTTGCGCAAAAGCACATCTCTTGTGCAAAAGCACATGCCAGTGTAGATGCTCTCTTGTGGAAGAGTTTTTGCACAAGAACTTTTCCACAAAAGAGTTCTTGTGCAAGCTGCAAATATAGATGTAGCCTTAGAGTCTAACACCTTCTTGTGTCAAGTAAAAGTGTATGTGCTAACATGTATATAGCCTAGGGTGGGCAATAATTTTTGAAGGGGGACCACTTCACAAATTTCAGAAGTGTCTGAGGACCGACCTGGAAGGGACAGGGCACTAGGTGGAAGGTGCAGGGTTTAGAGCTACCTTACCGGGAGCTTTGCTTGGCCTGGAGTCCCTGCCCCCTGACTTCTAGCCAATGGAAGGGACCTGAAGCAGAGGGAAGGATGCTGGGGGCTATCCTCCTCCTAGCATTGTCTGCGGTGCAGGTTTAGATTTCATATAACAGGGCTCACAGCTCCTGGTCCCCACTGCTAACCTGGGCTATGTCTACACTCATGGCTTCTTGCGCAAGAAGTCTTTCGCAAGAAAACATCCACACTGCCATGTGCGCGCTGTGCTTTTGTGCAAGAGCTCCCATGGCAGTGTGGACGCTCTCTTGCGAAAGAAAGCTCCGACGGCCATTTTAGCCATAGGGCTTTCTTGCGCAAGAAATCCCTGCCGAGTGTACACATTGCCCTCTTGCGCAAGAGTTCCTGTGCAAGAGGGCTTGCACCTGTTAAAGAGCATAGCTCTTGCTCAAGAAGCCCTCTCTTACCATGCCGTAATGTAAATTTCCTTGCGCAAGAGTGAGCGGGCAGTGCAGATGCTCTGCGGATTCTTGCGCGAGAATGGCCATACTTGCACAAGAAACCTCAAGTGTAGACATAGCCCTGTTGTCTGGCAGCTGCCCGGCAGGCAGAAGCCCTTTGAATAGAAACAGTTGAAAGGGCTCATGTCTCTGGGCAGCTCTTAGGCAACAGGCCATTGGGGCATAGCAGTGAGCTCTTTTTATTGCTTCTGTTTAAAGGGCTTGCACCTGCTGGGTAGCTGCTAGGAAATGCAGCCACGCAGCAGGTGAATCTCTGGCTTGCTAGCAACACTCTAGAGGCACCGGGAGCTGCAAGCCCTTTTAAGTGCTTCTATTTAAAGGGCTGGTACCTTGCCTGGTCCTGTCAGGCAATGCATTGCCTCGCAGTTGTGGGAACACAAGAGCCCTTTAAATAGAAACAGCTGAAAGGGCTGGCAGCTTCCCATGCCTCTAACATGTTGCCAGAGATGAGCAATCCCTTTCAGCTGTTTCTATTTAAAGGGCTCCAGTGTTCTGCACAGCTGCTAAGCAACGCTGCCTGTAGGGCCCAGGGAAGGCACCAGCTCTTTAAATAGAAGCGCTTAAAAGAGCTCACAGCTCCCCATGCCTCTAATGCATTGCTCCGAAGAAAGAGACACAAGCTCTTTTAAAGGGCTTGTGCCTGTGCCTTCATTGCACTTTTCAGGCAGCATTGCCTAGCAGCTGTGGGAACAAGAGAGCCCTTAAAATAGAAACAGCTGAAAGGGATCAGGCATCTCTGGCAAACGTGCTAGAGGTGAGTGGAGTTCCATGCAGTTTCATCTGTTTCTATTTAAAGGGCTCTCCTGTTCCCACGGCTACTAGGCAACATGCTGCCTGACAGGCACAGGGAAGGTGCCACCTCTTTAAATAGAAGCACTTGAAAGGGCTTGCAGCTCCCCATGCTTCTAGCACGTTGCTAGGGAGACAGAGATGCAAGCCCTTTCAACTGTTTCTATTGAAAGGGCTTGTGCCTTCCTTGCAGCTGCTAGGCAAGGTGTGAGGAAGACACAAACCCTTTAAATAGAAGCAGTTAGACAGGTTTGCACCCCTCTCCTGCTCCGAAGCAACCTGCTAGGGGTTGTGGCCTGGAACTGCCCTGCAGGCCAGATCAAAGCCCTAGGTTTGGCCTGCTGAAAGGCTTTTGCCTACCCCGATATAGCCTCCTTTTTCCTTTGGTAAGGCACAAAGTAGTTCACTATAACTGGCAGTCCCCACTCAAGGGAAGCTGCAGTGTGTAAGTAGTCAGTATTGTTCCTCACATTAACTGAGCACTTGATTATTGAGAGCATTTCCCAGCAGCTGCTGTCTGGAATGTTCAGCAGTTTACTATATATCAATGTTAGTAGGAATGAACAGGCAGAAGCTGAAGAAGCTTAAACTAGGGATGTTAAAATGTGTTTAGTTAAGTAATCATGTAAAACAGAGGCAGCAGCATAGGGTGGGTGGATTTCCCTAATTTGCCAGATTGCTACATGGTTACTTCAACAAGAATGTATACAGAATGAACTAAACAAACATTCATATGAGCATTCATATAAGCATTTTAACTACAACACAGTTTAGAGCCCTGAGTGGCGGGTAATGTAGGCAAGGAAAGATGTTGTTTTCCCAAAACTGCCCATGTGCCCAACACACAGGAGGGCTGGGACTGCAGCACTGCTGGGATGGTGAGACTAAGGAGTCTTGGATCCAGTTTGTGGGGAGGGGGGAAGATGGGAAAGGAGCCTTAGGCAGATGGGATGGGGCTGGGATTTGCCTTCCCCTGCTGGGTGTTCAACCACACCCATGGTTAGAACACAACACTAGAACTGGTTGTGTTACTTTTTTCTGCCTAAGGGAAATTCAGTGCAGTATAAAATACAAAACATTCAAAAAGATGTGAGTACATTTTAAAAGTATCTCGTGAAACACCCAGCAAATTCTATCTCCAGACTGAAAAAACGGTTTGAAATCTAAAATGTGAATCTTTAGCTCTATGCAAGAGAGAATGAATCTGGGCTGATTTGTCAATAGGAAAATGTAAAATACACCATGTTGAAATCTACATTAATAAGTGACTAAACATTTGCTGCCTCAGACACCTGGTAGGCTTACTGTATGTATTTTTGTACCCTGAACCCCTTACTCCATTAATCTGAAGAAGTGGGGTGTGCCCATGAAAGCTCATGATACCATCTACATTTTGTTAGTCTCCAAGGTGCTGAAGAACTATCTGTTGGTTTTTAAGTTTTTACTGTATTATGTGATAGATCTGAGACACACTCAATCTTACAGCAGCTCCAAATCAAAACCTCTTGTTTGAGGCAGGACAGGAAGAGTTTTAGACTGGCTTCCCGATGGACAGGATGCACGTTCATTGATGGCTTGCACATACCTAATAGGGGAGAGGTCTCCAAAACACAGCACAGGCCAAGTGTCTTCCGACTCTTGACCATCCACAGGGTTTAAGGACAGAGGGCACCACCCAGCCTGACCTCTTGTATAACACAGGCCACCAACACCCCTCAGCACCAACCCCAAGTATTACAGCCAGAGGCATCCTGCTTCAAAAGCCTTTTAAGACTGCACTTGAAAGAAAAATCCTCTGAACTGTTATTCATGCTTAAATTGGACACTTTACATGTGAGTCTGAATAAACAATCTAATTACCTTACCCATTACAAAGATAGCTTCCCCAATTATCACCTCTAATATCATTAGCCCACAGACCTTCCCCCCTCCCCATCCCTCTTCTGTTATGAAAAGGACAAATCAAATTTCAGATGTGTTCATTTTTTTTAATTGTATCCTTTGGTATATATGGTTGTGACAATTTTCTTCCACCATTTGATCTGAGGAAGTGGGTCTGGCCCACGAAAGCTCATCATCTAATAAACCATCTTGTTAGTCTTTAAAGTGCTGCATAGTCCTGGTTTTGTTTCAGCCAGAGGGAGGGTCTGTATTCAGAGCCCGGCCAGAGAACCCAAGACCCGCGAAGGGCGCCAGACACAGCTTAGCCCTCCCAGGGGGCTACTACGTGTTCTAGCCCCAGCCTCTCTGCGGGTGCCCGAGCCCAGCGGGCAGGGCCCCGCACAACACCGCGACTACAACCCGGACCCCGCGCAACGGGCCGCCTCAGCAAGCGGCGGGGGCTCCATGCGCCGCCGCCCCCCCCCGCTCACGGCGGCAGCAGCGAGATCCCGCGGGAAGTTTTGAACGCGTCACGTGGAAGCCGGTCCCCGTCGCGGCCCGTCAGCGCGTTCAACCGCCAGCTCCCGGCCAAGGACGGTCCCGCCGGGCAGCTGGGGCGCGAGTGCTCCCCCGAGCGAGGCAGGGTCACAAGCACCTGCCGCCAGGCCGCGTCACAACTCACAGCCCCGCCCCTTACCTCAGGGTCGGGACAGCAGCCCCTCCCCCTGCCTGCCGGGGCTCGGTCCCCATGGCGGCGCGCGAGGGGGGAGGGTTAGAGGGGGGGAAGGTGGCACAGGGACACCCCACTTGAGAGGGTGGAGGAGGAGCTGCCTGAGGGGCGGGGTCTCGTCGCCGTCACTTTCCCACCTCCCGAACAGGCGCCTCCGGCTCGCGCAATGACCCGTCTTCGCGCGCCGCGGCGCAGCCACGTCATCTTGCGCTCCTCCTCGCACGCGAGCGCGAGGGAGAAGGAGCGCGCGCACTCGCGCAACTTCCCACCGCACCGTCAAAGCAGCCGCGCATGCGTGACAGCCGTGTCCCCGCGCCAGCGAGGTCGTTTCGCGGCGGCAGAACGTAGAAGCCCAGGTTGCGCGGCCCGGCTCAGGCTGGCGAACGGCTTCCTCCCCGCGCAGCGCGCGTGATTTGGGCCACGCGGAAGGGGCCGGCGTCTACCTGCCGAGCAAGGCAGCGCGTGTGCAACGCGGGCTGGGACTCGCGCTCCTGCTGCTGCCGCAGCTTCTGCGGGGCTTGAGGAGCGGGGGCCTGGCAACGCCTCCTGCCCCGCGCTGCTTTCTCTCGCCGAGACTGTGCGCTGCCGGGGAACGCAATTCCCAAGCAGTTGCTGTTTGTTGACGCGCAAGCGAATGGGACACATTGTGTTCCTTTTAAGTCAGCCCCGAAATTGCCAGGCGCTGCCATAGCCCTAGTGAGCCAAACGCACGTCTCAGCATTTCAAACCAGAGGTTACTGAGCACTTTGCATAGCCGACAGCGGTGTTTGGGATTCAGTGTGAAGGACCGAAATATAATTGTATGCAGTAGTAATAGGCACTCAATAAAGCCCATAACTATTACCTAGGATTGGCAAATTTATTTTGGTAATTTTGATGGATTTTTAAAATTTAATATTTTAATCCATTTAAATTTTTAGTTGTGGGAAACTAGGGAGAGGGTCAAAGTATTTAAAGACATGGCTAAAATTAAAAAAACTTAAAACTTAACCATTAAAATGTCACCACAGTTATATCTGTACAAAGTAAATATGTTTAAATCTCTAATAGCATTTTTCTTGGCTGATCTGTAACAATGGCGAGGCATCTCCCAGGCAGGTTGAGCATTGAAAGATGCAAGCGGACGGGCTGGCTGGAAGAGACGGGTACAGGGTGTTGGCATTTCTAGCCCCCCCTTCCCCAGGGAGGAGGTGCTGGGAGCGCTGGGGAATTATGGAAAGTGCTTTGTATTCATCTGTCAGTGTGAAAAGTGATTTGCATATATTTGCATGCAAGTACACTTAAGTTGCAGCCTTCAGCATGTGCTGTATCATTGAGGTCCCTGGGGCTTCCAAAGTTGAGTAGCCCTGATATAGTATTTTCAAGCCTAGTGTTACCTATGTTCTTGATATATTGCCTTCCATCTTGTAATTTTGAATGTTAGCATTTTACATCCACTTTACAGAAATGTATAATTGCATATAGAAGCCAGATGATAGAAAAATCTGGCCTAGATTTACATTCTGAAAATCTGAGTTCAAAGTAAGAATAAGAATAAGAATAAGAGCCTCCGGAAAAGGGCACTTTTTCCGGAGGATCGGGGCCAGTCTAGACGCTCTTTTCCGGCTTTTTTAAAAGCCGGAAAAAAGCGGCGGACATTTTTATTTAAATGCCGCGGGGGATATTTAAATCCCCCACGGATTTCCCTACGACGACTAGTGAAATTTACATGCCCCTTCCGGAAGAGGGGCCAGTGTAGACGTAGCCATTGTTTAACTTGTTAACCAATTAAAAGGGGGTGAATAAGGGACATGCTCCCCCTTGCTGCTGAGCTGGAATGCCTCCTTCCCTCCCAGCCAGAGCAGACTCTGCTGTGCTCCCCCCCTACTCCTTCCCTCCCTTTCTCTCCCACCCCGTTGCAGGCAGGGGCTGTACTGGCCAGGATCCTGGACCAGCCCCCTGACTGCGGTGCATCCAGGCCTACTGTGGACAAAAGCTCTATGACAGGCCAGGGTGCCTCACAGACAAGAGCTAGTCTGACTGGGACACCGGAGCAACACTTGAAACAGCCCTGTATCTGCAGCAGTAAGCTGCTTCAGCCTTGGGTGAGGCTTGAAGGTTAACTGGTTAGATCTTCCTATCCCTAGAATGGAAGGGTTGCTAGGGTCCTCTTTGTGACATTCCAAACAAGGCTAGTTCTCTGGAATTGTAGCACGCTAGCACATTGGTTACACTGGACGGTGGCCAAGTTAGCATGTTGATCACAGCTAAGCTCCAGCACTGAAGAAATCTGAATCCAGTAGTTCAACTGGAGAGGACACTTGAGGGTGAGAGGATTTTGGAGTGACTTAAATCCTTGGAGTAGGCCGAGAGGCTATATTGTGGGAACTCTGTAACCTCCCACTTTAAATCTGTTCAAATAGCTAATACATGAGAATTTGGGAAGGAGAACAGATAATACTTCAAAGAGGCATTAAATTAATAAAATTGCAGCCTGCCCTGCTAGTTAAATACATGCATTTGCATGTCCTGATTACTAACTTCCACACCATGTGTCTCTTTATATTAGCTAAGAAATTTCAGATCGATCTACTACTCCATAAAAATCTAGCCTTTTAAAAGAGAACAGCACATAGAGGGAAAGTGGAGTATGTCCTGTTTGGGGCTGAAAAATGAAATCGTCCTTTTAATAAATTATATCTACCAATGTGAGATTATGTAACCTCATGAATTGCAGCCCAAGTTTTATGAATAGGATTTGGATTAATTTGTTAGTAACCTGTTGAGAATGGCCTTTGGAGAATCTGTAACTGTAACTTTTTTATATATTGTAATAAATCCAATTTAAAACTTTGTACTGCCTTACCACAGTTTAAAGTTAGGTGTGTGTGTCTGTAAAAGTGTGAATGTGGGTGCGTGTAAAGGAATCAGTCCCAGAAGCCAGCGTGTCTAGATGACCAGCTGCTAGCACCACTCTCAGGGCCAAAGAACAATGCAGGCAGGCCCTGCAAAAGAACTAAAAAAAAAAAAAAAAGACAAAAGCCTCATCAAGAAATGACAATGTCCCATCTGCCATCAACTGATAACTCATGGTCATACAGCTCTGGTCTACACTAGGGAGTTATTTTGAAATAAGCAGAGTGTCCACACTACCAAGCCTGTTATTTTGAAATCTGTACTCCTGCTTTCCTTGGGGAATAAGCTTATTTCAAAATAGTTATTTTGAGAATTATTTCAAATTTAGCTATTTCAAAATAATTTCCTAGTGTAGACATGTCCAGAGGCTCTGTCTACACTCATGGCTTCTTGCGCCAGAAATATGCCAATGAGGCTAAGCGTGGAATATCGCCAAGCCTCATTTGCATACCTAATAAGTCGCCATTTTTGCAGAAGAGGCTCTTGCGCCAGAAGGAGCTGTCTATGCTGCCCCTTCTTGTGCAACAAAAACCCTCTTGCGCAATGCCATTATGCTGATTACTTTTCAGGAAGAACGGCATTGCGCAAGAGGGTTTTAGTTGCGCAAGAAGGAGCAGTGTAGACAGCTCCTTCTGGCGCAAGAGCCTCTTCTGCAAAAAATGGCAGCTCATTAGGTATGCAAATGAGGCTCGGCGATATTCCACGCTTAGCCTTCTGCAAAAATGGCGGCTCATTAGGTATGCAAATGAGGCTCGGCGATATTCCACGCTTAGCCTCATTTGTATATTTCTCATGCAAGAAGCCACGAGTGTAGACATAGCCACAGTGTCCTGAGGCAGTGGGACAGGACAGGCTCTATGGACTAAAATATATAACGGTGGGTGCAAAAGTAGAATTGGGTCATTCAGTTCTATAATCATCCTCCAGAAGCATCAGTGCACACTGACACGACCTGGCTTGCCTCCTGATGTCTAGGCCAGTATTTCTCAACCTTTTTTAATAAAGTACCCCTTTTCAAAATAAAATAAGTATATATATAAGTACCCCCAGTACCTACAGTTTTCAGACACACAATTTTTTCTACCATTGCAACTCATTTGTTTAAACAACTTAATTGTACTCAGGTGGGTGATAAAATTTTTGGGTGTAAAAAGTAGAAAAATAATAAAACGCTGTAAAACTTAGAACAAAAATTCAGTTTTCTTCACATTTCAGTTGTGTTGATGTACCTCCCAGACTTCTCTCGAGTACCCCTGAAGGTACTTGGACCACTAGTTGAAAAACACTGGTCTAGACCACTTGGCCAATGGCATAATATGAGCAACTGAGACTGGTAATTATACCCCATCTGTAGAACTGTGTGTGTGATGAATAATTTTAGTAGCTATGGATAATAAATGAATTATGCCTCCACAATAAACTCAACATATTGCCTTATCCCCCTAAGATTATGCTAGTTCTATTACACAAGTATAACACTGTGTCCCATCTAAAAAATATTTATGACCAGGGTTCTACAAATAATGCAATCTACTCACCCGTGACGAGTAGATTGCAACCCAGAAGAGCTGGGTTCGGGTGATCTGTGCATGTGCAGATCGCCGGACAGCGCGGCTGGCAAGCAGGGCTTGCCGCACTTCGGCGAGCCCTGTTTATGACCATAGAGAGGCCAAAGATCATTAACCTCACTGAACAAGATTGGTTGGGAATTAAAAGGGATCATTCATCTGTATTAAGAGAAGTGTGTCTGCTGAGGTGCCATATTCCAGTGTTCCTTGTAAGTGTGCACTTGTGTGCCCACTCAGCAGAGATTCCAGTGCCACCCTGCTCATTAGCAGAGCACTTACAGCTGGGTTTGTGTTTCTCCTGCTGGTGCACATTTGCACATGTGTTGGTGCATATAACATTTATTCTGAACATGCATGGAAAAAATTAGAGGGAACATTGCCTCTGAGTACTTTATTAGTTCAAAAGTTATCAAGCAGTGAAAAAGGCATTATTCTAGAAAGTCCTATCCATAATGTGCCCAATTAAAATGCAAGGGGATATCTAACATAAGGGAACTAGCTTTAGCAACAACCTATGATGGGGGAGGAGTGAGATAGTTGAGCTATTCTGTATAGAGTTTCCTCTGTTTCTGAAATTTCATGACCATTCAATGCTATTTTATTCCCACTGTCTTTGGCCGTTGCTCTGCATCTTCCAGGTCTTTCTGGACTTTGCCTAGAGATACAGGTAGGAGAGGATCTATTTTTTTATGTAGGAAACTACTAAGCCTTTAATTAGAGCAGGTTATCTAAAATTACTTCTGAAGCTGAACTAGATTGCATTTTATTTGATAAACTTGTGAATATGAGGTTGAAGCAGTTAAAAATTAACAGGAGGTTAAAATATATGCTGTAAATCAGGAATGGGGAACCTTTTTTGGATCAGGGGGCCCACTGAAAACTACAAAAAAATCAGTCAGTGGTTGCACAAGTGAGAAACCCCCATCCCACCCCACCCCACCCAAACCCTCACTGACATGGCCCCTAACTGAGAAGGAGAAAGACACTTCCCACATTCCCCTTGCACACCAGAACTTAGTGGGGTCCAGGCTAGTAGATTTTGTGCGCTCCAGTCCCAGTCCCTCAGTAGGCGCGGGCTCCCCAGTGCTAGGAGGGGCGCCCCTGAGCCTCAGGAGCCGGATCCAGATAAGCATCTCCCTTGACCTGAGGTTCTCCATCCCAGCTGTAAATCCACGAAAGGATAGATGTCTCACACTGAAAACATCAGAACTGCAAATAATCAGTGCATGCCCATTATCAGTTAAAATATAGAGGTGGCTAGGTCAGGCATAGGGGGAAAAGACCACTCACCACATGTCAAACAAGATTTTTCAAAACCATAAAAGAGTCCCGAATAAAAGACTTTTGGTCTATATGCTTATGTTCCATGTAATTTAAGCAGAAGTTTTCTTACAGGAATTTCTCCAACAATACATGTGTCTAGCTATGTTTGAATGGATTGGATCAAACAGAACTGTCTAATCTCTTAAATTTAGAAGCTTGATAGGCAACTAAGAAAAATGGCAGTTTGTATTTTAGAAAAAATGACAAGGCAGATAAGAAAGGGAGGTGTTGTTTCTATTGGATGTCTGGCACTGGTTGGGAAAGAGGCAAGCTGTAAGCTCTGTTTTACTCAATTTTGTTCATTATATATATATTGTTACTTTAGCTTCCCAACTCACTCCCACTTCAGCTGGGTGCTCTGTCCATCTGTTGTGTCCTGTCTGACGAGTAGACTGCAAGAACTCTGAGACAGTTTTATTAATTGTTTGCACAATGGCTATAGGATTCTTAGTAGCATAATTCAAATAAATAGCAATTAGTGGTTTAAAAATAGTCAAAAGAGAAAAAATATAGCTCTTCCAAAAAAGTAGCATAGATATTCTGAAGAACAAAAACAAATGAAAATCTATTATGCTTCTTATTTCTCAGCTGGAAAAAGTTAATGGTCAACTGGCAGCTGTAGAGGATATTCAACCATATTCACAAGAATTTCTGAAGTCAGTTACTGGATGCTACAGTGACTTTAGTGAGATAATCTATGCAATTATACTTGCCTCAAAAAGAAATTAATGCTGTTCCTATGTTATTTCTGAAAATTTACCCAAACATTCAAAAATAGATTAAGATTTGAAACCTTATCAAATCCAAGGGTTTACTCTTACAATGATTCAATAACAGTCTGAACTCAAAGGGAACTATCTATTGATTTTTATTATTTTCAACAATGATTATTGTAACTACCAGTATTCAAAAAAAAGTCTTTACCAACTAATGGCTTACTGAAAAGCCAGACCTTTCCAGCCCATTTCATATTCTCCTTCAACCATTTTAGAGCAGAATTATGTTCCAAACTGTAAACTTGTTCCATATTAACATTCATTGTCATGTGCTTAAGAGAAAGCTTTGGATTAGATATATGAGCAGCTTGAATCAGTCTTTCAACTGCTGCTTGATAGTCTTCTTTACTCTGTGCTTTTTGTTCTTCAGATCTGCAAGAGAGTTTTCACATGCACAAAAATAATGGAACACAAACAGTAAGAAACATCATTCATAGATGGTTTTCATTTATTAGCATTAAGATGATTAAAACAGTAAAAAAAACCCCTTAGTATCATATTTCCTAATGCAAATACTGTGAACTGCTAGGCTCTGATAACTATTTTAAAATAATGGTGTTTTGCAGAATTAACATCCCAGTGACAAACGAGTCATGTGCTTCCTCAACAGCATACTATCAAGTGGAAAAATTAGAATCTAATGGTAGAGCATGTTAGGCGCTGACCTGGCAAGAATCTGGGCATACCTTTGACTGCCGTGGGATTACATTTCAACATACATAAAGGATGCGATTAACTCCTTGAAGGATATGGGCCTTATTTATTATAACCTACAAGAAGAGTTACAGTAGGACTGACTTGAATCTGGCTATCTAGTTGGGGATATAATGTATTACACCACAAACTATACCTTTTTTTAAAAAATGAGTTGGCACGTCCCTTATCAGTAGCAGATTTTGTTCTACTTCTCAATAATGGAGTTTCTGCTTAGGACGCTCCTTTTCCTTCTCTCTCAGGGAACATCACCTATGAGCTATAAATGACTGGCACTTTGTCCTCAGCTATCAACCTGCCCTCACTAACCAAGGACTGTTATATTATTCCTCCAAAATAAACTGCAAAAATAAGCTAAAATACATATAAATTGAGGAATTTTAATAGAAAATTATAGTTATATAAAAGTCTTCAAGTCTTTAGCTCAATACCAGAGGCAATACATTTCTTAAGTGGGAATGCACAGATACCCTCAGTGAAGAAGGATGATTCCTTGAAATAATCTGATTGAGAAGGCTGGTGATTAATAGATAAATATTGCTGGTGTGGAGGGCAGGAGAAAGACCCCAGAAAGAGTTATTCATTTTCTTGTACAGTAGAGTCCCTATCATCCGACCTTAACGGGACCAACACATATGTCAGATGATACGGACTCTACTGTAGAGAGCAACGGAACAGCTGATGCCGCTCCTTCAGGGACGAAGCGTCCCCGGCAGAGCAGCATCAGCTGTTCCCTTGATCTCTAGGAGGAGCTGCTGCTGCTCCTAGAGAGCGACGGGGCAGCAAGCGGGGCCGTTCTCCTGGCCTGCTCTGTATCCGACCCTGCAGCTCCCGGGGGATAAAGTCCCCGGGAGCTGCAGGGTTGAATAAAGCAGTGTCGGATTACCAGGTGTCGGTTAATCTGGACTCCACTGTAACTGTTGTTTTTCAAGATGTGTTGCATATGTCCATTGGCTTAGGTGTGGGCATATCCCATGCACTGGTGCTGTGAGTTTTCTCTAGCAATACCTGTAGATGCAGCCATGGCTGCACCTTGCTATTTCTAATACACTGGGCCAAGTTATAAATGGCAGTCACTCTTCTCACCCTTCAGTTCCTTCACACTGGACTTTTAAGATGATAGACTCTTGATACATTTGGGGAGGAAGATAGGTCACACAATGGACACGTGTAACATCTCAAAGACCAACAATTACTCAAGCATCTTCCAACAGGGGTGAGAGAGAGCTAGGAATCTTATGGGAAGAGACCACAGAACTGCTTTCCCCACATTCACATCTTTAGTGCCCGGCACGAATACAAAATTTGTATCTGCATCTGCAAAAATGAGTTGTAGATATTCACACCCACATGTGCAGATGCCTGTGGATATAAAGGGTATATCCACAGATTTGCGGAGTGCTACATATCTTCTCTTGGGCTACGTCTACACTGGCCCCTCTTCCGGAAGGGGCATGTAAATTTCACTAGTCGTCGTAGGGAAATCCGCGGGGGATTTAAATATCCCCCGCGGCATTTAAATAAAAATGTCCGCCGCTTTTTTCCGGCTTTTAAAAAAGCCGGAAAAGAGCGTCTAGACTGGCCCCGATCCTCCGGAAAAAGTGCCCTTTTCCGGAGGCTCTTATTCTTACTTTGAAGTAAGCTCCAGACTAAACAGACCCAACTCCCTCAGCCTCTCCTCATGTAAGAATAAGAGCCTCCGGAAAAGGGCACTTTTTCCGGAGGATCGGGGCCAGTCTAGACGGTCTTTTCCGGCTTTTTTAAAAGCCGGAAAAAAGCGGCGGACATTTTTATTTAAATGCCGCGGGGGATATTTAAATCCCCCGCGGATTTCCCTACGACGACTAGTGAAATTTACATGCCCCTTCCGGAAGAGGGGCCAGTGTAGACGTAGCCTTGATGTCTAGCAAAGATATGGATTACAGACCGTGTTGCTGTTTTGCAGATATCCACAAGAGGGACATTTCCCACAAATGCTAGAGGCTGAGCATACTCTGCCTGAATGTGCAGAGAGCTTTTACAGAGATGTCATGTCTTTGATATTGTAGCACATGACAATAGAGTTGGTGATCCACCTGGATAGCTATTGCGCTGTTACAGAATGCCCTCATTCATTCCATATAGAGACATGGGAACAGATCCCAAAAGACTTTGTTCTTTGCCAATAAAAAGCTAGTGCTTGGCAGACATCCAAAGCGTCAAGTGTTTGTCCATCTTTGTGAGCATGTGGCTTTGGACCGAAGACTGACAACTGTAGAGGCTGGTTGAGATGGAAATCAGGTATTACCATGGAGAAAAATTTGGGGTTTGGCCGAAGCTGTACACTGTCTCCATGAAAAAGAATGTATAGAGGATCACCAGAGTATGACGTTCCCCCACTCTTTTTGCTGATGATGACTATTAAGAAATCCACCGTAGCTGAAAAGGGTAACAGTCAGCAGGTTTGAATGGGGACCACATAAAGGCTGTTAACACTAAGTTCAAATCTCACTGTGGTAGGGTCCCTAATAAGTGGGAACAATCACTCTATGCTTTTAAGGGACCTGATCATCACAGAGTTAAAGAATACAGTGCTACCTGTAACATGAGGGTGTGCAGCCAAGTGCATTTTGCTAAAGTAGACTGCCAAACCCAACTCAAAAGGATAACAAATAGCTTAAAATCTTTTGAATCAGATTGTGTAGGAGACAAACCCTATGTACTTGTACAAAGAAATAATTCCACATACTAAAGGAAGTACCCCTTGTGGATGGCTTCTTACTATTAAGTAGGAGTTTCTAGACTGCCTTTGAACTGTGCCTCTGCATTTGGCTACTTAGGAACTAGGCTGTGAGGTTTAGCTGCAACACCTGCCTATGTTTTTGGGATATCAGGACTTTGATGAACTGTAGGGATAAGGGTTCCCCAATGGACAATTTGTATAGGTCTGAGAATCATTTTGCCTCACTCTTCAGCTTGAAAATGACCTTGGGAGTCCATGGCACTGTTCCAGGAAAGAGAAACGTATCTGAGATGGACCTGTGGCAACTATTGTCCTGTGAACAGAAAAGGGAGCAGTTCTTGTTCTGCAAGTTCACAAATAAGTCCACTGAAGGATCTCCTCCTCTATGAATAACTATGCTAGATCAGTTGTGCTGAAAGACCATTTACGATCCAGGGCAAATGAACTACTTAGTCTACTGAGCCATTCTGAACTCCTGGTAAGTGTGATGCTGTGAGAATCAGGGAATTCTGTATACAGAAATTCCAGTGCTTGACTGCCTCCTCTCTGATCTAGAACCCTCAACTTGCTGACATTGAACATTGCTGTCGTGTTGTTAAATACTCAATCTTTGAGCCTGCACATCCCCAATGTATACATCCTACCGCATGGCTGAAGTGTCTATTAACAAAGTCATAAAGGGAAGAAATGGGGGGCAGGGACTCCTCTGCAAAGGCTTTCTTGGTTCAACAACCAATCTAGGGATACCAATTAAGAGCTTTGTATAGATATAAAACATGTATCTGCATCTGATTGGCAAACATGGTCTGTGGATATTTGCAGAGCTCCAATAATAGTACATTGTCTGAGATGTACACTTGTATTCAGGTAATGTATTTGAAGGTGATGTACAGACTTGCGTCATGTTGCAACCATCTGAAATGCAGCTTGGTAGGGGAATCACATAAGCATACATTTCAGGAAGGCAGATTTTGGTAAGCTCAGAGAACTGGTAGGTAAGGTCCCATGGGAAGCAAGACCGAGGGGAAAAACAACTGAAGAGAGTTGGCAGTATTTCAAAGGGACATTATTAAGGGCCCAAAACCAAGCTATTCTGCTGCATAGGAAAAATAGAAAATATGGCAAAAGACCGCCTTGGATTAACCAGGAGATCTAAAAATTAAAGATCTTGCATGATCTAAAAATCAAAAAGGAGTCATACAAAAAATGGAAACTAGGACAAATTACAAAGGATGAATATAGGCAAACAATACAGGAATGCAGGGGCAAGACTAGAAAGGCAAAGGCACAAAACGAGCTCAAACTAGCTACAGGCATAAAGGGGAATAAGATGACAACCTATAAATATATTACAAGTAAGAGGAAGACCAAGGCCAGAGTACGCCCATTGCTCAGCAAAGAGGGAGAAATAATAACAGGAAACTTGGAAATGGCAGATATGCTTAATGACTTCTCTGTTTCGGTCTTCACCGAGGAGTCTGATGAAGGGATGCCTAACATAGTGGTTTTCAGGTATCTAAAAGGGTGTCACAAAGAGGAGGGAGAAAAATTGTTCTTCCTGGCCTCTGTGGATAGAACAAGAAGCAATGGGCTTAAACTGCAGCAAGGGAGGTTTAGGTTGGACATTAGGAAAAAGTTCCTAACTGTCATGGTGGTTAAACACTGGATAAATTGCCTAGGGAGGTTGTGGAATCTCCATTTCTGGCAATATTTAAGAGTAGGTTAGATAAATGTCTATCAGGGATGGTCTAGACAGTACTGGGTCCTGCCATGAGGGCAGAGGGCTGGACTCGATGACCTCTCGAAGTCCCTTCCAGTCCTAGTATTCTATGATATGCTTCAGAACCCTCAGGCAATTCCTTACCAAGGTTCTGGAATGGTCCTTTTAGGAGGCACAAAGGTCCTGCAAAGCTATAAGCCTCAGGAGAGGCAAAAA